TCTGATATGTTCATCACTCCTTTTGGAATTAGAGCAGACCACACAAATGCTTAGTCTCATGGCTGGCACGACAGAGGATCAACAAATATTTGTTGTATGAGTGAATAAACAAATGAAGCCCTGTAAAAACTGTCAACTGTTATATAAACACTATAATCATATTACAAGTGACCTGAAATTGGACTGTTAAACTGGGAGATCTCAAGGACACTATGTTGACATTTCATTTAGGAAAAGAGTAAATGACGACATCTAAAGATGAGGGCTCAGCTGACTTGTTTTCAAAAAACACAGAAGGTTGTGAAGGCTTTGTGTTCAACCTTAGAAAACTAACCCTGACCCCCCAAAACTACACAGGACTTAAGGAGACAGACACCAAACAATAAGGATCGAGTGGCTCAGCCTGGGCAATGTGACTGCTTCACTTCTTAATTTAGAAATCTAAATCCTCTGTAGAACTCTGTCCAGATGGATGAAAATAAACTCTTATGTGATGGGAAAGTCCATGGTTTTTATCTACCTATCCAGATAGAATTCATTCTGACAATCTGAAGGGACTCTTATCCAGTCAAAATAAATTAAAAGGCACTGGTCATTGAACTCAGTGAAGCCTATATAAAGTGACTTGGATTGTGGTTAGGGCTGCTTCAGGTTCAATTTGAAAGACTTTGAGTCAACTTGGCTTTATTACTTTTCGGTCATCAACATAAATACCAGGAATACTAGCCTCCAGGGGCTCTCCACAGACCCAATCATTTTTTAAAGAAAACCTCCATCTTTTTAGGTTTATAATGACATAACCCCATAGCAGTTTCCATTCTATCCTGCGTATGACTAGGCAAGTACTTTACCACTGCCTACGGCTAAATCCCCAGACCCTTATATTTTTAAGTAAATTCATTTGCATCATTCACTCTGGCTCCTGCACACTATACACCAGCTTACAGATCCAAGTAACTGATGCTTTTCAAATGTTACCCTCAGGAAATAGCCTTGCTGGGGTCCAACTGTTCCAAGCAAAATAAGAGAGCACATTTATCGCAAATAAACATTGTACTGAAGGATAAAAACAACATGACAATCTCCAAGGTCGGGAATCTCTATCTCCTTTATCATATTATGCCAATACCCTCAACTGTGTAAATCACATTACTATGGTAAGCAGGCATAAGCTCTCAATTGACTTTTCCTTCTAAGAGAAGTTTATGCCACACATTTTTTTCAGTGCAGAGACAAAAATCATGACTACAATAAAAATAATCCATTTCTTTACTGTCTCATTTATTCATGTACTCTCCATTTCTCTGCATCCTCCAGTAAAAGTAAGAAGCTTAAGGCTATATTTTTCTTTGAAAAGGAAACACTCTTCTAAAAAATTATATCAAATATTAAAAAAGAATTGACAGTAAAATATTCTGTTTTTCTTATTCATGAGTAAAATTACTGGTTATATGTCCAATAGTCTTGTGCTTTCCTTATTTAAGAAAGTTGACTGCTTTTCTGTAAAGGGTCTCTGTTCACATTTATCTTTTCTCAGCCAAACTGGACAGCCTCCAGGAGAGCTGTTGATATTGAAATTTGGCTGGGCAAATGCTTCCAGCTCAGAGAAGTCATACACTTGTAAATGTGTAGAAGAACCCTTTCTCTAGTTAACATCCTGGCTTCCCACCAATCAATGTCTTTTCTTTTCACTGAAGTTTTTCTTTAAATTATGTTCTTCATGCTTGCTTTGGATCCCTTTACAAATTAATAGATCTATGTGCAGTATACTGCAGAGCTGAGCATTGTTCCAAAGGGAGGAAAAAATCCTGCTGCCTCTTCACACAATCCGGTCGAGCTCCAGGCATGGCAGCTATTCACATGTGAGATGACTTTGCAGAAAATTAACACCATGACTTGCAACTAGGATAAGACCTCTTTTTCCATGTCAATTGCTGGAAAGATAGTAGTGTTCAAATTCACTGGAGAAAAGACAGGGGTTTGGACATAGGCTATGGCAGTGCAAACAAAGAAAAGAAGCTACAAAGGAACAAGTACAATATGTTTAAACGACTTATTTGTGTACTTATTCTGTTGGACAGGAGTTAAATTTCAGGACTCTCCAATTTGGAAAATGTTTTTCCAAATAAAACAAATATTCACAATGGAAAGAAAATGTCCATTCTCTAGAAAACAGAATTATATCTGAAGTTGAAGAGATTTTCCTTTGTTCAAAACTGTGTACATAAATATGTATTTAAAAAGTAAAAACTCTGTATGATACTGTAATGGTGGATAGTTGTCATAAATTTGTCCAAACTCATATGATGTGAAACACCAAGAGTAAATTGTAATGTAAACAATGGACTTTGGTTGAGTGATAGGCCAACATAGGTCCATCAATTGTTAACCAATGTGCCACTCTGGTGGGAGATTTGATCATGCATTTGGCTATGCTTGTGTGGGGCAGAAGAAATCCCCATTATCTTCTCAATTTTCCTGTGAACCTAAAACTGCTTTAAAAAGTAAAAGTCCACATGCACACACAAACACACACACACACACACACACACACACACACACACGCAAAACACACAAATGACTGGAAGGCAATAATGAAAGGTAACAATGATTACCTGATTTGGTGATGATTAAATGTGATTTGTTGTCTCCTTGACATTTTTACAACTAACAAATTATTTCTGTAGCAAGAAAACAGCTCAGGAAAGAATTGTGAAATAAGATGAAAGTATTGGTACAGATACTCAAATACATTTGTAATTGATATAGAAATATAAATTTGGAGCAATTAGATTATTTTTTCTGCTTAGAGTACTATTAAAACTTGCTTTTATACCATTTGAAGAGGGGAGAGGAGGTAGTTCTGGAAGGAGTAGTGACAGAGACCTAATGAAATATGTATGGAATAAAATAGGTTGATGAGTCAGAAATTTGGCTGCATTTTATATTTGTCATGTCCACATCTTTTTAAGGTGCTAAAATCCAAGCTCTGACTTGAGAGAGTTGGGGGCAGAGCCTGTCTGAATGAATGATTTCCAACTTTCCTATAGATAACACAATATGAGACCTGGATATCTTTGAACCTTCATGGAAGTATACATCAGAGACGATGAAACCAGGTGCCTTACAATAGATAGTCTGGTATGATCTACATCCAGAAATGACTATCTATCTATCTATCTATCTATGGCCAAGTGAAAGTATTACAAAGAAGTTTCCCTCCAAATTACGTGTGAGTAATTTCATTGTTTTAGTTCACTATGAATCACTCTAGAGACACACACGTCAATAGATTAACTTAGGGCATAAGTCTTCAGTGGCACACAGTCTGACTGCCTGGTGAAATAAATTCTGAATATTCAGAGAGAGTTGATCCAATTAGTCAGTTCCTATACACTATTCCTCTTTCATATTTCTCAGTTTTAAAAAATTCTTTTATTAGTATATGTTTGCAGTAACAATGATTGCATCTATTGTGGGGGGTTTGTACATGTACGTAACACATCTTAATTCTTTTTTGTCCCCCTCCCCTCTCATCCTTTCTTGCTCTTTCTTTCCAACTCTTGTTCCCCTTCCCTTTTGCAAAATTTCTACATTTTTCCCAGTTTCTAATCTTTTCACTGTTCATAAATATTCTTACCTGACAAAGGAAATGAAATTCAAACCAACTGATTTAGTTTCTGTTAACATTTTTGGTCAAAATGTGTTGGAAGTAGAAATAAAAATGAAGTTTTAAGATTCCTCATTGAATTTAATTATCCTTGTTAATCTTGTTCCCACTATCATATAGAAATGAAAACTAGAATTCTTAAACATTTGAGAATAAAATGGATCTTAGGATATTTGGATTTTTCCCAGCTGTCTGCCAGAGAGGTCACCTTGGCCTAATTACAAGACACTGAATGTTGGTGAACTATAAAGAACAATTATAAAGAACAATTTTTGGTCACTATCTTTTTGGTAATCATAAAAAGTACTTTGGGAGCTGGAAATGGAGCTTGCTCTGTCCATTCCACATATCAACCTGGTATTGCAGTACTTCCAGGAACCATACACCAAAAAAAAAAAATGTACTTTGGGGATTCAAAGTGTAGCTAAATGTTTAAGAGTCCAGGGCTGAGGGTTGGGGATTTACCTCAGTGGTTCGGCCACCTGCCTCTCAAGTGCAAGGACCTGAGTTCAATCCCAGTTACCAAAAAAAGAAAAGAAGAGTCTAGGGCTGAGATGTAGATTGGTGGTAGAGCATGTGCTTAGCAAGTATAAGGCCCTTGATTTGATCACTAGCACCATAAAAATAAGTCCAATAACTTCTCACTTAAAAGTAATTCCTTTCTGCTCTGCTTAAATATATCAGACCTCAGAAACAAGGCAGATGATCCTATTTAGGACTGGGGATGTAGCTTAGTGGTAGAGTGCTTGCCTTGCATGTGTGAGCCCTGGGTTCAATCATACTATTTAGATATACTCCTCCTCCCATCATGCTATTTAGATACACTGAAAACAAATGTAGTAGACGGGGGGTTTAATAACTGAGTAGTATGAAAAACAGATAATATATTTAATAACCTTGGGGGGAAAAAACTGATTTGTAGCACTTGCTACAAATGCTGTGAATATCCTCACTATAGTCAATTTTAATCTACCAGCTTGGTGTTACTGAGTAAGTAACTGGGAAGAGATGAGCAGTAGCATATCATTATCACAACCGCTATCACAGAATAGATACAAGTAAGCACAGATAAAATTTAAAAGGTAGTAAATGATTAAGAAGTGATGAAATTTGAGTACTTATTACCTTGTTTTGAATGCAGGTTACATTTTCCTTAAATATTATAAAATTTAACAGTGGCTCCCCTCCCCACAATAGTCCATACAGACTAGCTTATGCATACTATTTAAAACCACTCTGTCCGCCTGCCTCCAAAGCTGCAAGGTCCCAAGTTTGGTCCTGGTACCAAAACAAACAAACAAACAAACCAACCAAATGCCCTGAAACTTACCAGGAACACATGCTCAAATATCTGTGTAGGACTATCCATCTGACCAAGGATTACTATCATTTCATTATCTATAAATTCCTTGAATTCCCGTAAGTTGCACACCATTTGCATTTCCAACTCTGTTCGTATCTGAAACAAAGATGACATATTGTACTAATCTCTGCAAAGTCTTTCTGTACTTTCAATCATGTACCATTTCTAGCCCCACAATTATTGTTATCCTACTCTTAGTCTTGGAACACTGAGGAATCAGGGTCTCTTACCTCTTTGGAGGTGATGTTCTCCAAATCCTTCTGCATCATTATCTCCCTTAATTTGGTTTTAATTAGCCTTTCTGTTCGCTCACGTTCTGTTGGTCTGAGAACAGAGAAATAATGATTTTCCTTAAGGAGGAATTTAAGTTAATGAATGTACCATTTTATTATGTTTCCAAACTGGCTAGCTTTGCCTCTATTAACCTTAAATTTATGTTGTGGAGGCATGGTGAATGAAAATTAATTTTTAAAAGTTTCTTTTAAGAATGTATTGAATGTAACATGTAGAAATTATTACTTGAAGATGTTATATGTGTTTAAAAGCCCTCAAATACATTTATGTATTTAAATTCATGAAGAAACAAAGACAAGTTGGGTATACTGAGTGTGGTTCTTTAATAGAGGACCATTTCCATACTTTCCCATCAAGTACACCTAGGTATCACTTACTGAGCCAGACTACTAAGTAGAGTAGTGTGAACTGGGTTTTCTGTAGTTTAAAATGCTACTGTATGCTGATAATTCATTGTTGTGGTTCTAGAAGACAGACAAGCAGGAAGAATGATCTTGCCTTTCAGTAAGGTAAATTCTCTCCCAAATGGGTTGTAGGGATCAATTGCCTACAGTACCTCCACCAACGATGCTTTCCTCTTCATGACAACTCTCACTGTGTCTCTGTGAAATTATTATCTTCATTTTATAGATAAAGGAAACAAACCCATTAAAATACATGCTGATAATCATATCAACTGGCAGGTAGATAAAAAAATGCTCATTCAACCTAGCCCAAGATTCTACCTACAGAACTGTGTTGCTTTTTTAGTGTTTTGAATCACTTAAAAATAAAATTACCAGGCTGAGGATTTAGCTCAGTGGCATCGTGTCTGCCTCACAAACGCAAGGTCCTGAGTTCAATCCCCAGTACCAATAAATAAATAAAATTACCCTTGGAACTTTAATATAAAATCAAACTAAGCAGCTAACTCACCAATTACTAGAAAGGTACTGGCTCAGTGTAACTGGATGCTTCTCTCTAAAGGCATTATTTCATATTGTGCAGTATGTGAGTGAGGCTGACAGAAAGCACTTTCTGCCTCACCTTTTCTCCATACCTACTGAAGAAAGATATCTGCTCTACACCTCCTTATTTGGAGATGGAAATAGACTAAGGCTTCAGGCATCCCGCCTGCCCTTGCTGCCTACAGCCTTATCACTGTCTGCAAAAATAGCTTTGGTAGTTTCCAAATATGGATGCTTTCACCCCACAGCCTTGGAGTTCCACACCAGTTGGGCTCTTAGCTTCTTCTGAACTCTGTAGAACACAGAATACACTGGTATAGGAGCCATTTCCCTGTCAGTCAGCAAAGACAGCTCTGTCCTGACTAAAAAATTTTTTTATTTATGCTTCACTTTTCCTTGACATAGCTAATGGTAAAAAATAAATGTATAATTTTAGTATACCATTAAAAAAACATTGGTTAAAAACAAACTTAGTACCTGTGTGCAAATGTTAAGACTTCGTAGTTTAGTAATATTTCAAGCCTCTGCGCTTCTTTGAGACAAAGCAGTTTGGGAACAGATAGACTTAGGTTTTAACTTCAGCCCTGCTATCTACTGGTGATGTAACCCTGAACAGGTTCCTTCTATTCCCTGAGTCTATATTTTCCTTTCAATAAAGTAAGGGCAATAATAGTACTTGTCTCAGATTCTTATGAAGATTAAATGAGATACCATATATGAAATTCCTGGCATAGCATTAGATGTACACTGGGGACAACACAGACGTATATTCTCTCTTCCTCCCTTCCTTTGGATTTCAAATATAAACTATTCACCGTAGAGGCATGTTAAGTCTGTTTTGGCATACATTATCCCTGCATCGTCAGCATTCTTTTATAGGTTTTTCTAGTCCATTTTGGGAGGATGAAGGGGATGGAAAGTGCATTACAACACGCGCGTGCACACGCGCGCACACACACACACAAACACATACATATACTTTTTCTTCTTTTTCACTGGAAAAAATTTGGAAAATATGTAAAAATGCAAAGAAAATAAAAATTTCTCTAAAGATAATTATTATCAATACTGTGGCCTACAGCTTCCATGTATTCTTTTCATATGAAAAGATAGACATTTATTTATTAAACATATCTAAAATTGGTATTATAGTCTACAGAAGAACTAATATTTAATGACCCTTTTACGAGATGCCAGGAACTACTTTTTATATTTTTTTGCTCAGAAATGTAGAGATTATGAGCAATTTCTTTTATTTGTCATTTTTGGGGGGTGTACTATAGTTTCAAAATCCACTCTAGCTAGACATCTATTCCTTTGAAATCCATCCGCCAGGTATAAAACACAAAATCATGAATAATATTTTCCACAAATTTATATTTTTAGTTATTATGGGATCTTGAAAGGACTAGGGGGTCCTAAAAAAGTAGTCCTAGTACTTATAACTCTCTGGGACTGTTTCTTGTACATAACTCTTAGAAATTTCATCTTTTTTAGTATAAGGCATTTATTAGACTCTTTTCTAAATAAAGCCTTTAAAAAATCATGAGGGCCCAGGATGTAGCTCAGTGGCACAGTGCCTGCCTGGCAAGTGCGATGCCCTGGGTTCAATTCCTGGTACCAAAACAACAACATTATGAACTGTTTAGGCATGACTTTAGGGATTGTAAAGCAAATCCTATTTGTAAGGTCAGAGAGTAAGTAGCTATTCTTATTTTCTAGGTGTAGAGTGTCTTGCAAGTACAGAAAGATCATCACTTCAGAGAAAAATAAACATTTTGATTAATTTTCAAAGGAGGAAATAAGTAGAGAGAATTTCCAAAATAGCCAAAGAAGTTTCAATACATAAATCTAAAAAGGAAATACATACACATCATCTCCACCTTAGACCTTTATCCAACTCACAGTACATCCAGAGGTTTAATAAAAAATCTCACTGACAAGGACTTAAGGCAAAGGTGGAGCAGAGTAAGACAGTTTGTTCTTGTTTTTGTTTTGTTTTTTGTTTTTTTTTTGGTATGGGGGATCAAACTCGGGACCTTGTGCTTGTGAGGCAGGTGGTGGAACCAACTGAGGTAAAACCCTAGCCCCAGAGTAAGACACTTTGAATGATAAACTGTCCTTAAAAAAATCTGAACAGAAAGTAACTTTGAATATAAAGTTTAAAATTAGCTTAACAACTGAAGTGTTCTTTTCTTTTTGGTACCAGGGATCAAACTTAGGACCTTGTGCTTGTGAAGCAGGGGTGGCACCACTGAGCTGAATCCCCCGCCCTTGAAATATTTTTTTAAATTGATCGGGAAACATCTTGTTTTCTTAAGTACTACAAACATCCCTCTGAAAGCTTCTTGCTATTAATTTGCTTAAGAAATGCTCCTTTCAACTAACACAAATTTCAACCCAATTCCTCCAAATAAGTACAGTCTAAAGAATGGGTTTTATGGTATTGGAGTTCTTTACTATGGAGACTGTGTTGGTCTCAGAAGTGAAATTCTTCATGCCTTTTCAGGCAACAGGGAGAACGGGGCTTCTATGTGTGGCCTGTGGCTGAAGTATGGTATTAGACGGTGACTACTCTTGCTGGGTAATTCCCTGAGGAGATTAGAGAGCAACTTGCTTGGTAGGATACAACAGAGGAGTTTTGCAAGCTGACTTACATGTCTGTGAAGAGAGCTGGAGAGTCAGGCCGATGGGACTGCACATCCTGCATAGCATTCCATTCGTTGACTGAGGATTGATCTGAGTTGATATGGCTCTCGTAATAACTCACCCAGGTAAGAAATAGGCTGCCTGGGTAGTAGTTATGCATTCTGGCGACTTCACAAGCTTTGTGTAAACTCTGTAGTGCAGACCTGAAAGATATGTTGGCAAATGAGCACTGTAGAGCTGTGGGTTACAAAAAGTCAATAACTGGTGTATTTCAAACTATTAATTGAAAACAGGCCTAGAAAAATAGACGTATGCAGTTATTTATCCTATTTTTGGAACCCTGCTGTGGCTGTATCACCAAAAAACTAAAGAGCTCAACAATTTAATATACAAAGATTTCTTTCCCTTGGCACAGAATCACGTAGGCCTACATTCTCTATGACCTTAGAGGCTCCACAAAGATCAGATAGATAGATGCTCTAAGCTATGAGGACATGTTCATTAGTGTTCTGGAAGTACTGATGTAATGATATGTATCATTTTTGCTGCTTTTAGTCTGCTGGTCTCTTTGAACCATTTATTCATACACATAAAGCTACCTTTCGTGACCAGGAGTCATTCTGAGACTAACTAGACCTTGTGAGTCGGAACTCAGGAACTCAAAAAGGTTAAACAAAACTGCAAGTATCTTTTGGTTGTCTACTGTACATGGGAAACATTTAAGCTACAAATGCTTAGAATTAAGTCTCATTAGAGCAAGGACCTTTCCACATTTTTTTATTGGTATATTTCAAGTGCCTAAAAGAAGGCCTAGCTCATAGCTGAAATTCATTCAGTATTTGTTGAATGAAATATCTTACTAGATGTAGGTCTTGTTCCCAAAGGAAAAAGAGAGTGTAAGACAATTCTGTGACCAATTCATTCACATATTTTTCTTCAAAAAACTTTTTATTTATTTTTTCCCTCATAAAAAAGTGATCCATATTTATTACTTTAAAGCATTTATAGACTGGAGCTGAAGTTCCGTGGTAGAGAGCTTGCCTAAATGCAGGAGGCCCTGGGTTTGATCCCCAGCACCACATGAACAAAAAAAAAATTATAGGCTTTAGACAAAACGCAGAAGTATCCTGCAATTTTACTACCCAGGAATAATTACTGTTAAGATTTTAGTACAGATCTTTCCAGTTCTTTTGTCTATGCATAAATCCATAATAAACGAAAGTACGACCATAAACTATATTCAATCTAAAACTTGCTTTTACTTTATATCTTGTAAATCAACATTTTTCCATATCAATAAACATTCAACTAGATCATTTTGAATGGTTGCATAATGGTCAATGAAATAGGTGTATCATAATTTAACTGATACTTAATTTTTCAGACATTTAAATTGTTTTCTCTTTTTTGCTATTATTAGAGCATTTACAAACATAGTTAATAATCTCTGCACATACACAAGGTGATTATTTCAGACTAGAGTCTTAGTAGACTTTTAGGTTAAAGGACATGGAAAGCAGTAAGGCATGTTGGCAAATCACTCTCTAGAAAGCTCTGAGCTAGGTGTGGTGGTGCATGCCTGTAATCTCAGAACCCTGGAAGGCTGAAGCAAGAGGACTACAAGTTGGAGTCCATCTCAGTCATTTAGTGACTTGGAGAGATCCTGTGCCCCCACACCCAATGGCACCAGTTTATTCTTCTACCAATGGTATATGACTGATTATTCTAAGAATTCTTATCAACTATATGCTATGTAAATTTTAAAAAACACATCTTTTTTTAAATAAGGGAGTTATGTGCTGGGCTACTTTTCTTGAAAAAAAGTTACAGAATCTTTAAAGAATGTTTTTTAGAACTGGGTGTGATAGTAGATACCAATAATCCCAGCACTCTGGAAGTTCAAGGCCAGTCTGTGCTAAATAGTGAGACACTGCCTCAAAAAACAAACACAGGATTTCTGTTTCTCAAAGTAAGTCAAATTCTTTTTTTTTTTTTTTTTTTTTTGGTACTGGGGATTGAAATGCAGGACCTTGTTCTTGTGAGGTGGGTAATGGAACCACTGAGCTAAATCCCCGGCCCCTCAAATTATTTTTTTTTAAAAATTGAGTTTATTGGTACATTTCAGGTATACAGTACAGTTACAATCATTATTGGGATCTTGTACTCTACATGACAGGTCTTGGTTCTCATTTTTTCCACTTGTCCCTGCCCTCCCTTCACCTCCTCCTCCCCCTCCCATTACAAATTCTTAAGAGAATCTGTTTTATCACACAGATTCAAAGGTAAAGGTTAATTTAGTGTAACATACAGGATAACTACTGTGTGTTTTCTTTATGTAGGAAACACTTGTATGCCAGGGCTGGGGAATTAGCTCAGTGGCACCATTCCTGCCTCACAAATGCAAGGTCCTGAGTTTGATGCCCTATACAAAAAAAAAAAAAGTAGATGCCAAAGCCTGCTGTAACTGCCCTATAACGCACTCAAGGTCTAGTGCCTCAGATACTTTAGAGGGGAGGGAAAGGGTAAAATCTTTTTCAAGCTCTTTTATTTCTTAATTTGCTTGCCTTTTATCCATTCTATGCCTTTTACCTAACAGGCAGCTGAATGAGACACTGAAATTTAAATCCCTGTCTAGGGGATGAATTCTAAACTTAAGAGTCTCATCATTCTCTGGTTATATTTGATAATTTTCCAGATAATAAAAAAGGATGAGTGTATTTCATCTGAATGAATGAGATACTCTCAGTTTTCTCACCCACAAGAGGCCAACAACATTATTTTTGGGGGGGTTTGGTGTAACGATTAAATATAACCCATATTAAGCACCTGGCATAATGTCTGGCACACAGTAAATACTCAAAAGGGTCAGTAATCCCACTGAAGGTTATCAACAACAACGTTTTCTTTAGGCTTTATTTGCATTATGCAAATAGCCATCAGCGGTTTAAGTGAAAATTTATCTCTCTATAATATAATTTTGTCAGTGCATCCCTGATTACCGCAAGAAATCAAAAGCTAACGCACAGCAATAAGGCATTCTAAGCGGGGTGTGGTGGCACATACTCATTATCCCAGTACCGAGGCTGGGATAAGAGGTAAAAGGACAGCAAGATAGAACTCAGCCTGGGTAACTCAGTGATTTAATAAGGCTCTGTCTCAAAATAAAAAATGACTGATGATATAGCTCAGTGCAAAGGCTCTGGGGTTTAATCCTCAGCAACACACACACACACACACAATGTATTAGACTTGGCTCTTAGCTTAGTAACTTAGTTAATATGTCCCTATAAAAAACTCAGTCCTGAACAACTATTTAATCCCTTCTGTTTCTTCCAGAGCCTAAAAATATCTCTAAATTTTACTTGTTCACCAGTGCTCAAGGTCTTCCTCTGTGACAAGTTTAAAAACTGCTCTTCTAGGTCATCTTTAACTATATCTACCCAAACACATAAAAAAATGCCATAGGCACTAACAATCATATAGCATTTCATAGTGCATTGTACCATGTCAGATACTATGTCTCACAAAATGGCTCTTATAACATATCAAAAAATAGTTAGAATAGTTTAAAAACATTTTTTGTAGAGATAGTAAAGTTATCTTACCACATTGCCTGCACAGATACGGGTTTGAATATGTGAACTCTGTTATCTGTTGATACGCTGAACCCACTAAGAACAAAAGAGAATAAGACAAAAATCCACAAATGAGTATAGATTATTTCAGTTGTAAATTTTCAAGGTTGTTTTCCAGGCTAGCAACAGCTGGTCCAATAGAAGGAATCGGCAGATATTTCATAGTTAACTAGAGCATAGGACTTGATTGAAAAGCTTCAACAAATTGTTTGATTTTTATCTAGCAAAATGAATGGAATCCCACATTGGAGTTAGGGGATTACAAAGAATTTCCTAGGTATAGCTAGTCAAACTGTTCTGCTGTATACTTTTACTTGGAAATCTTGTAGGTTCTTAGCAATCCTGACCCTGGTTTTATAAACTGGAGCAAACATCTCAGTCTCTTAGGCACACATTCTGAAAACACCAGGAGGAGGGGGTGGTGGGGTCACTGGAAAGAACTGGCACAGGAAAGGGGTCATACTGTAGGCTGACAGCTGGCAGAGGCCGCAAGAGGTTATTTGAAACAGTACACATCATCCTCTGGGAGAGCATTGCAACAGTCTCACATGCTTAGATTAAAGAGTGAGCCAACAAACTACTTTCTTCTTTGTTTAGATTCCCATCATAGCCAGCCTAAAAGAAAAGAAGCGAGAGATTCTGGCAAGTTGTATTTTTATTCTACTTTATGAAACAGGAGTTTAAAAGGACTCATTGAGAAGCTGACATGTCATTTCTGTTGGGCATACTGGGCCCCCCATTCAACTAAATGAATGGGTCACTAAGATGGAACACCACCCCTTGGCTTTCTGTAGGAGTAAAAAGGGAAAGCTCTTACCCATCACCATCCAAATGAATTAGGGTGTCACTCCAGAGAGGCAGGACTAAACCCATGGTACAAGTGCTACTGCAAGATAAGAAATAGTCCACAAGTTACTTCCTGTTATTCTGGGAAGCAGTCTTTTGCTCATTAACTCTTTCAACACAAAGAATAAACCCTAAGCTCAAAAGTGTTGCATAAGTGTTAGAATAAAGAAATTATCATCACTTCATTATCAATCCCACATACTCCTCAGGAACTACTGAAAAGAGATGGTCAGTCAGTTCCTTATACATTTAACAAAGAAAACTTACTGAATGAGATCCCTGTATTGCTGTCTTACAAATGGCTATTATCTAAAATGTCCAGGTGAGTACTGCTGACTAGCATTTGGTAGCTCTCAGCTCAGGGTATATCATGCAACTCAATTCCAAGGACTGTTTCTTAGCTGGACATGGTGGGGCAGAACTGTAATCTCAGGACTTGGGAGGCTAGGAAGGACTGCTGTAAATTTAAGTTTAGCTTGGGCTACATAGTGAGTTCAAGGCCAGCCTGAACTACATAGCAAGACTCTGTCTCGAAACCAAACCAAACCAACAAAAAACAAGGACTATTTCTTGTCTGTTTTGGTGGTATAGTGTTGAGCATTAGCTGCCTTCCAAGGATGGGTTCTTTGCTTTTCTCTCTTTTTTTTCCCTTTATTGGGAATCGAACCCAGGGCCTCGTATTACCTAGACTACATCCCTACCCTATTTAAATTTTTATTTTGGGCCGGGATTTAGCTCAGTGGTTCCGCTGCCTGCCTTGTAAGAATAAGGGCCTGAGTTTGATCCCTGGTACCAAAAAAAAAAAAAAAAAAATTTATTTTGAGAAGGGGTCTCATCAAATTGCCCAGGCTGGCCTTGAATTTGTGGTCCTACTGCCTCACCCCTTACATTTTACTTCCTTTAACTTTTACACTATTGAATATGTTCTGGTATTCGAAATGTCTATGAAAACCTTAGAATTAGACCTGAACTGATCACATATTCCAAAGTTTTCAGCAACTAACAGTAGTACTTGGCATTAAGCAATCCTTGGATTAGCTGGGTCCTGTGGCACATTTCTGTTATCCCAGCTATTCAGGAGGCTGAGGCAGGAGGATTATAAATTGGAGGCCAACCTGGGAAACTTAGTGAGGCCCTGTCTGAAAATAAAAACAAAACAAAACAAAAAATAGCTGGGGATGTAGGTATACAGCATTTGCCTAGCGAATGTAAGGCCCTGGCTTTAATTCCCAGTGTGGCAAAACATACACACACATACACACCTCATATCTCAAAACAGGCTAAGACATGAGTGTGCCATATCTGAAGAACTACTTGTACTTTTCATAAACAATTTGGGTTCCGCTTTGGTTGAGTACTATTTTTTTTTCTGGTACTGGGGATCAAACTCAGGACTTTGCACTTGCCAGGCAGCCGCTGCACCACTGAGCTACATCCCTGGCCCCTTCAGTTGATTTTTTTTTTTGTACCAGGGATCAAACTTGGGTCTTTGTACTTGCAAGGCAGGCGGTGGAACCACTGAGCTAAATCCCCAGCCCAGCTGAATACTATTTTGAAACATTAACTTTTTATATTTTCAGATACAAAACAATATATATTTCTTCAGTAGCAACTAAGATAGAAGTGACAGTAGATTATGTGAGCAGCAGTATTCCGAAGTAGCAGCATTTCTCTAACTGTTCAAGGGGCTCTTTTAAGTAGAAGATATATGGGAATTTCATAGTATATATTAAGTTTACCAAAGAATGAAAACTAGCTTCTAGCTTCCATCTTCGATTTTGTATTCTATAAATGAAAATTTCCTTTTGTAAGTAGATCTTGTCAGATATGATTCAGGAAGGACTATTACAGCAGAAAGATATGGTGCATGAAGGATAAATTACTAGGCATCCATTTGTATTCTTTCTGGTAAAGTTTAGGACAAAGTGAAAGAGATACGACTACACAATCTGATTTCTTTGGGTTAGAACAATCTGAGTTACTGCCTTCTGTCTCCAGGGAAAAATCAACTGAAGTTTCTATGCAGCTCACATTCCTGTTTTATAAAGTTTTCAAGGGAAGGGTCAGGGAGAACTGAACAAAGGAAACACAAACTAGATCGGTTCTAGCCAACTGAACTTTCTGCAATAATGGCAGTATTTTATACACCTACAGTTCCATAGGGGAGAATCTAGCCATATATAGCTGAGTTCTTGTAATGTGGCTACTTATGACTGGGGAACTGATATTTTGATTCTATTTATGTAACAAAATTAAATATCCATAGATGATTAGTGGGAAGCTATTATTAGAAAGTACAAATGAAGAAAGGAAACCCAAATCAGAGTTCCTAAAACCCTTACACAGACAAAGTACGTCCTCTTACAAGAAAAGTTACTGCTAAAGAAGTGTTGCTTAGGTAATACCAGAAGTTAAGCTTAAGGAGAAACTTCTTAAACTGGTTTACAAGGCTGTGTAAATTCAAAGCATACAATTACATGCTACAAATGATTTACAAGGTAGTAACTCTGGTCTTGTGATCCCTGTGAATCCACAAGTCATTTTCAGGTTGATGTCTGTGTAAAAGCTCAGGTAAACTTCGTTGCTTTGGAAAACTTTCTAGTGACAGTGAGATTTTTTTCCCCCATCCCCCAACATCAGGACAATCAGAATCACATCCATTCTCCAGCTCTTTTTGTGGCTAAATTCCCCCAGGCCTGGGTCACATCCCTAGCCATTACACAGTTCCATTCTAGTCCTCAACCAGGAAGTCAATGCTTTGAGACATCTGGCAGGATTTCCTGCACCTTATTATCTCAGAGCAAAAAAATATGCTTAGCAGCCACATTCCACAGTCTTCCCAAGGTTTCTTCTGAACAAGTGGGAACATAAAAAAAGAAGAGCCTAAAACCTTCAGGACATAAAAAAAAAACCCAAAAAACAAAAACGAAACACCCCAAAACTAGGTTCTCTCTGATGATATCTTTAACCACAGGATATGATATGAAGTACAGCTAAATCCAAAGATGCATAATTATCAAAGGTTCTATTCTGAGTTTAAGAAAACATTTCCTACTTTTAACTCTGAAGAAAAAAAGAAAAAGGAAAGTTTACTGCATTTCAGGTGGGATTCTCCTTGAACTCAGGACCACTGGTAAACTCCTCCAAAGGGCATGTAGCCCTGAATCGCTCAAGTGTATCATTACAGAGTAAAAGAGACTGCCAAGAAAAAGAAACTTTTCCCCTGGAGATACAAGTTTAAATCATTTGCTTTATACCATTACTAACTAAAGATGAGAGAAACATGCTTCTCTCAAGATTGAGGTTTAAAGCTGTTTCTTTCTCTCTCTCTCTCTCTCTCTCTCTCTCTCTCTCTCGCTCTCTCTTTTTTGAGACAGGGTCTTGTTATGTAGGCCAGGCTGGCCTCAAACTCGGCCTCCCAAGTGCTGGGATTATAGGCATGCGCCACCACACCCAGCTCTTAAATGATTTTTCATGATTTGTACTTTAATAGAAGAACCATACCAGATATTTTGTAATAGCTCAAAGGGCAACTAGAACCGATTACTTTTATGGTTTCATACCTGTCATTAGAAGAGAAATCCATTCCTAGGACGATGCTTTCTTCAGTGTCTTGTCTACCATTAGTTGAAACTACTACCATATAGCGTGTTCTGTTTTGATAAGTACTTTCCAATCTTACAGCCTGGAGGATAACAGACAACAGAGAAATTAAGAAGTTTAAAAGAAGAAGTTTCAGATCATTTAAACTCTATTAATCACTTGCGCGCTCCCCACTCCCCCAGCCCCTTCTTTCTCCTGACTTCCTTCCTTTTCCCTCCTCCCTTTGCTCTTCTGGTATTGGAACTGACATTCTACCATTGAGCTACATCCCCAGCCCTTTTCTACATTTTATTTTGTGTTAGGGTCTTGCTAAATTGCCCAGTCTGATTTTGAATGTGTGATCCTCCTGGCTCAGCCTCCTCAGCACTTGGGATTACAGTCATGCGAGACTAAGCTCTGGCAGCTATATACTTGTTTTTTTAAAGCATTCATGTTTTTATTATTTCTTTATTATTATTTTTTTATTATTATATTATTATTATTTTCTATTATTATTTTATTATTTCTTTTTTGTCTTCCCCATTCCCTGCTCCACTGATAATCTTGCTTCCCGAAAGCTCCCATATTTCTCTTCCTCCCAAGTCATACAAAACTGTGAAGTTCTCTCCTTGACTCTGAATTTTATTTTTTTATTTTATCTCTGAATTTTATATCTTGATGTAATGTTAGAAAATATTTATGTTTTAAATTCTGGGAAAATGCTATTGATCCACCTGGCCCCATCCTCCCCAATACCAATTAACAGTTTAAGAGAGAAGAGCAGTATAACCAATTCTTCAGTATGGTCCCTTTTCTCTGCAATCCTTAGGGAGTTTGTAATATATGTAAAGTGATTAAAATTCTAATTCATTAGCATTTTAAAGCTTACTAAGGAAGGCAGCAGAGCCAATAGTTAGGAGACCTAGATTCAAATCCCAGCTCAAACTAAGATTACACAGTTGTATAATCTTGGCTACTTGAGAGGTTGAGGCAGGAGGATAGCAAGTTCCAGATAAACCAGGGCAAATGAGACCTTGTCTCAAAATAAAATTCAACAGAAGGACTGGGTGTGTAGCTCAGCCACAAAGTACTTCTGGGTTCAATCCCCAGTACCACACACACATACACAAACATTAAATTTCAACTGAAACACTAACCATAAAACTTTTGTCAAGTTACTAAATCAATTGGAGGGAGGTATAATAACACTTATCTGTTGTCTTAAGAGTCTTATGAAATAATGAATGTAAAGGACAGTGGTTGGCATATAGTAAAAGTGCCATAAATGTCTGTTAGTACTATAATGTCTAACAACTGGCAGAGCATGTTTGAAAGACTGAGAATATAAAGATTATGAATATAAGCACTGGTGTTACAGATGCAGTTCCCACAATTACATGAAGCAAACAGCTAGCATGATCTAAGGGAGTTTTTGGCTGTTTCCCTTTCTTTTTTTGGTCATAATGAGGACTGAACCCAGGATGTGCACTGAGCTACATCCCCAGCCTTTTTTTGTTTATTTTTGAGAAAGGGTCTCACTTTCTAGTGCAGGCCTCACACTCACGGTGCTCTTCCTCCTTCAGCCTCCAGAGTGCTGGGATTATAGATGTGTGCCACCATGCCCAGTCTTGCTATATTTTACTTTTGTTTTGAGACAGAATCTTGCTAAGAGGCTAAGATGACCATGATAGGATTGGACTTGAGATTCTCTTACCTCAGCCTCCCAGTGGTGCTGGGACTACAGGCATGTACCACCATTCCCAGCCCATACTGAATTCCTGCACGTTTATAAACTGTACGATTTTCTTTTACTTTAATGATAATTCAAAGAGAGTGCTTTTTGAGAAGCTTCTTACATTTTCTTCAAATGGTTTTAATTTATTGTTTATTTATTTGGTTTTGTTTCATTTTGTTTTCTTGAGACCACGTTTCACTACGTAGTCCAAATTGGCCTTGAACTCTCAGAGATTCTCCTGCCTCAGCCTCCTGAGTCTTGGGATTACAGGCGTGCGCCACCACACCCAGCTATTTATGTTTTAAAAGTACCTTCAGAAAATGTGAATACAGTCAGGATTTTAGATGAAATTAGGGATTTATTTACTGTTAGTGTGATAACAGCAATGGAGTTAATATGTCTTTACTTAAATATTTGTAATGAAATGACATTATGTCTGTGTTTTTCTTTAAATGTTCCAATAAGACAGTGTTTCCATGGGGAAATGTTTCCAATGGGGAAAAAAAAAGGCGGTTAGATGAAACAAGCCAGGCAAAACACTGAAGGTCATTAAACCTAAGTAATGAGTTCATAAGGATGGATTTTCTACTTCATCAGGTCTACAAATTTTAATAAGAAGTCCAAAAAGATAGCAAATAATATTTTCTGGATTCATTTTCTTCTATGTAAAATAATTCCTGAGCCTCATCTCAGAAAAGAAACTGTTTCAATCCATCAACTGGCTCAAGATATTTATTACAGATTTCCATCTGGAATTCTGTAAATGCTGATCTTGTTGGGGTCTCCTTCCCCTTAACTCTATCCATATTTCCAGATGGCCAAAGAAAAAATAGGCATAATTACATAGTTTACATGACTCATAAGATGAGACTCCCATGGTTATCTCTGTGATAGTAGAAGTGGCTACATTAACCATTTTTTCTAGTAAGAGCTAACATAAGAAGGTAATGCCCATCAATTGGATGCCAAATGCACTTTGCTAATTTTATGTTCCATGAAAAATGGAGCATTTAGGACCAAATTCACTTATGAGAAGCTAAAAGGTACTAACATTTTATTTATTTATTTATTTTTGGTTTTTGGAGACAGGGTCTCACTATGTAGTTGAGACTGACATGGAACTCACTTATGTAGCCCAGGCTGGTCTCGAACTCACAGCGATCCTCCTGCCTCAGCCTCCCAGAGTGCTGGGATTATGGGCGTGGGCCACCACACCTGGCCAAGGAACTAACATTTTAAAGGACTAAGGTTTAGACCTAGTCAGCTGGGATGGAGGAAGAAGCATTAAACATACAGAACCATGGGTAACAGTAACTGTACATGAAGTGGACTTGGAGGCAGCATTGATTATTTTCTCTATAAAAACATTCTAAAACATGTTTAATTAACCAGACAACCTGTACAGGTAAACTATTATTTCTTTCTTTCTTTTCTTTTTTTGGTACTAGGGATCGAACTCAGAATCTTGATCAAACATCAGAACCACTGAGCATAAACTAGGATTTCTTTTTTTTTTTAATTGAATTTATTGGTATATTCTAGGCAGACAATACAGTTTCATTCATTACTGGAATCTTGTACCTTTACATGCCAGGTCTTGGTTCTCATTTTTTCTCCTTGTCCCCACCCTCCCTTATTCCCCTTTCCCTATCCTTCTCACTGTCCCTACACCTTTGGTCCTTTTCTTCCTATTTGCTAATTGTCCCATTAGGATCTTGAGTACTATTTTAGTTTTTCACACCAGAGATACTATTAGGTATTTGCATATGTGTGCCTTATAACTAGGATTTCTTATAAACAACGTCCCAGATATTACAGGATATTTAAACTTGGGCATATTTTGGCAGGCTTTGAACTGTTCAGTTTTCTGAATATGTCAAGAGGCTGTTAAAATCCTCTGTCAAGGCTCTGAGAGTTTCTGGCAAGGCTCAAGTATAAATGGCATGAAAAAAACTGAACTGTGCTTCTGACAATTTATCTATAACTCTTATAAGAACTAGTGACAACTGATGGGTCATTTTAAAGGTGATAAAATGAAAACATAATCTTCATAAATATTATTCATAATGCAATGTATCAGGACAAATTAGGAATGGGGAGCAAGTTTTTTTGTAAGTGATATTAAGTATAAATATTAGTTGTCTCTTTTTATTTACATGTTTTTATGGTTGTGGGATCTAACCCAGGGCCCTGCACTTCTTAAGCAAATACTCTACCCCGGCCTTCATTGTCTCTTTTAAAAAAGCAATTTATTTAAAATACCAAGAACAGACTCCAAGCCTCATGGGGTCTTGACTACCAGGCACACCTCATATCTATTTAAATTTAAGTTTCTTTGACGAATAGCATTTGATATTTGCTTTAATCAGAGGCCTCTAACAGTATCTATAATAGTTAATAAAGTCTTACGAATGGTAAGTGGAACTTTAATGAGGAAGTTAGAAAGCATGACATAACTCAACATACATCCTACTTGAAGGGGTAAGATGAAATCTTTAAAAAATTCCAAAATGCTAAATGATAGATCTGAGAGTTTCTTGCATGTTTCAAGATTCTACATTAAGAAATTAAGAATCTATAAGCCATAAGCATAAAGGAAAATCTAATCTCTCCCCCATTTGAAATTTAGCTCACTTTCTCAGTTAAGTAAAATATCACTGAAACCTAACAATTTAATTTATCATATCAATCAGGGAAATGTAATTTAAAATGGCAGTTTTTATGTAATACCCTATATTGAAAATAACAGCACTTCTAATGTTTTCTGAGTCTCCAGAATTTAGGAATAAATGACTGGAATGAGATTATCGAGACTGACTTGATTAAAAACTAAAGATCTTATTGAAAAGGACATTTCTTACATACTAATTGTCCAAACAAAATAATCTTAAAAATTGAGATGTACCAGTAACTGAGATAATTATTCTAAAAAGTCCATTTATTGCCTAATTTTGGAATAGTATTTCAAGTTTCAGGTGAACTATAATATATTCGGTACTCTCAGGACTGAGATAGATCTGAGAAGTCATTTCTTGCCTCTGCTTATTCCTGAAAATAAATACCCAACCTGTTTTGAAAGCTCATCATTCAAACAATGATGTTAGAACTTTTCTCAGAATCTACTTTAAATTCTTAGCCTAAGCATAAGCCATTCACAGCCCTACTTGGCACAAGAGCTTCTCTCATCAGCATTATCTTATCTATTATTAGGAAATACTGTTCCTTAAGCTTACACTGCACCATTACCTTCAATTGATTTTCACTAACAATCTTACATTATGGCCATGCATGTATGCAATATTTATCTCCACAGAAGCTACATTGTAAAGACCTAATGTCTAGACAGGCAGCTCACCCAGTCCATCAAA